GCTAAGATATATTGAGTGCAATTGTATGGGACTCTTTTCAGTTGTATATACAACTGTAACAGCATTGTATACGCAAAACATGAAAAAAATAAGTTAGTCCAGTTAGTGATAACTGAAAAAAAATGTGATTGAAAATGTCTTACCTGTTTCCTTTGATCATCTTTATCGTCAATATAGGACAGAACAAAATCGATCCTGCGCACTCCATCACGGAAGAACACGGAGTCCTTACTGTATTTTTGCTTGTCAATCTAGAACGAGACAACACAAAGGAGGTGAGATTTTAAACACACATAAATAGACAGGGACTGATATTTTGCAGTCACCACAGCAGACCAGAAAGTCAAGCTTTGCATCTAGTAGCTAATGCAAAAAATGCAAAATACTGATAATTATCACTCAAAACACAAACAACATGCCAAATGGAGGGTAGCTTCTTTGATGTTTATTGTTTGTTGTCTGTTTTTAAGTCATACTGAACAAGACGATAAACCTGTTATATCATAGGGCGAAACTAAAACAGATATCGAAGATCAAAACTAGCCATACTGACTTAAGGCTCCAACATTGCTGCAATTTAATAATCTGTTTTTCTGTAATCAGCACTGACCTCCAAAGAAATTCCAAGTACGTGTATCAGCCCCACAGAGGCAGTTGCTTAGCAAGCTACAAAAACTGGACCACAAAAAAGTGCTTAAGGAGAGGACCCATGACTGGTTGCTGCTTCAGCTGTTCAGAAAGCTAAAAATAACTATGTACAGTGTGTTTCTCTCTGCCACATTACAGCAGCAGTAGGACTACAGGCAATACACAGAACCATTAAGCAAAATAAAAACTGGAATATCCATTTCAGGCACATATTTGGCTAGTGTCTTTGCCCCGTGCCATCACGGCAACACTCTGGAGGAAGGGAGGAAAGGAAGTGCACTTTACCTTCATGGTCCACTCCCTTTACCGTTACGATGCAGCAGCAAACAGGCCAGCTGCCTGATAGAGCTAAACTGCTTTACTCCTGGGAGTAGAGTCCAGGCCAGCAAGCACTGCCTTTCTCACCCTCACTCCACTGATCCCCATCCAAACGGGAGCCAACCAGTCCACTCACCTCCCAGGACAATCCCTCACTTCTTGCTCAGTCATCCATAAAAGCAAGAGGAGGGATACTGGGAGAGAAACACAGCACAGTCCTAGAGATGACATCAGCAGAGGGGTAGCATAGCTGCCGCCAGCTAGCTAATCTAATCAGAGCACAGCATCAGGAAAGGGGGGAGGTAATGTGACTGAACTGTATATCTGTCCCTCAAATTACATCATCTCAAGTTTTCTTGGTGCAAAAGTCAAACAGTTACATGAAGAAATCTTTTCTACAAAGGGTGATAAGGGGGAGATAAAGAAAACCAAAACTGGTAGCTACTGTGTAGCCTTGGGTCAACAGCCTCAGACAACTTGCACAATTCAGCTACAAAAATATACTTTAAATGCTTCAGCTCCACAGCTGTATCTACCACCCTGTCTGGCCACTGAACTACGTGTTCAACGTGTACAGCTTGTCATTTCCAACACCGTCACAGTCTCTTATTCCAAATTATGCATACGTTCAAACTGCTGGTCTACACTGCCTCCCAGCCTGGACTGGAACGTGCTGACCAATGCAGGGTGGTACTTTCTGTAACTGGGATGTTGCTACAGAAACTCTCTAATTTACAGTAATTACAGATCAGCCATATGGAATCGGCGCATCAGCTGGGACGTGCCCCTGCTCAGAGCCACAGACTTCTATACATTTATGAACTAACCCTTAACTACTGGGCGTTTCGACGTGTCCCTTTTATCTTAATGGTGAAGGGTAAATGTAGAATATGGTGTAACACAAGAAGTCTTCCAATTTCAGGGGGGTAGAAAAGTAAGTGGAAATTTTCAACTTACTTTCAAGGTACTATTTTTTTTTGTGGAGGGATAATTTTAACCATGAATTCTTATTTTCAGGTCACTTAATTAGTTTGGAATACACAGGAGTTGCTGAACACACTTTAGTTGATATTGAAACGTAATTGTGTTATTTTTACTTTTTATTTCTTTATTAAGTTATTTGAAACATTAAGAGGAAGTAGGAGACCAGCAGAGAATGTTACTCCTATGCTGTCCAAACCAAAGTATGTTTTAGGTTATGGTGTATATCAACTTCAGTGATGACTCATCTGACAAAGAACACGCCCCCGTCTATCCTCAGTCTGTGTTTTTAATCCACCTTCTCTAATGCACTTTGATTTTAGTACCACTCAATCTAACATCCAGGCGGTGTATTAGCTATATTGTTTAAAGTACTTTAGGTGCCCCTTTTTTCACAGGAGAATGTAGATGGTGACTGCTGTATCACTGCAATGGCTTCTCTGCTTGCAATAAAGCATCGCAATCTGCATGTTTGTTCTGAAACGTGCACTTTTGTGCAGAGCTAGATGTCCAGCTGGATCTCCAGATTTGCAGAAAATTACATCTGGTTTAGCGGCATAATACAAGTATGCACATAAACCAAACCTCTTGAAGAGTTACATGTAGTTTAAACCGTGTTGTCTGCAGTGAAACAAGAGCCAGTTTATACATGTGCTGCCTTTAAAACTCCTTGATGTGACCTTATGCTCAGCTAAATTGTAGTCCTAGAATGTAATGTTCTTTTTTACCCTGCAGATTGGCTGCTCTGAATAAAAGGTCACACTTTTCATTAACATGGGTTGCACAGTGTTTAAACAAGGCCATACTGGAGAGGATTCAAAGGCAGAAGCCTTCAGTACAGTATATGGTTAGCCACACCACAGTGCAGTCCTGTCATGAGCAAAGGGTAGGGCCATGATTACAGCATATACAGTTCTGTACCACACACACACACACACACACACACAAAAGAGTTAGGCAGGTGGAAATCTGCATGTGCAGCTTCTATTATGCTGTGGCACATGGTTGGGTTGTTGCTCTCTTAGTGAGGCCAACAATAATCACAGGTGAGAACAAAGCAAGAGAAAAGGCCTTTTTCACCTTTAATGAACTCTCACGATACATCAACACGCACAACAGCATGTTTCCATTTCTCGCAGCAGGCAAAACAAAACATGCCTTCAAAAAGCCAACATCAGCTCTCTACCAAGAAATGCTTATTGATTTCTCCGATGTCCAGGTTTAATAGCCTGAATGTCCAATACTGCTAGAGAAACTCGACCATGAGCATACACTCTGAGCAGCAGGTAGGAGATAATGGGTGGCTGGTAGTCACACATATAGCGTACATTTCTGCATCATAACACAAGCTTGTTTTACCATGCCATACCCTGGAACGAAACTTCAGGAATAGGGCCCGTTTTCTCGAAAACTGTGGAGGAACCGAGTGCACAGTGAGAGAAAGCCTGACAAAACGATTCAAAACAAAATTCAACAGCATACCGCTAAAACAGAAGCGGCACCCTTTTAGAGGGGAACAGGCACTTCACGCTTACATTCCATCTACATACATTTACAGATTATGTCCAAAAACACTTCATACATGAAGATTCAGGCACAATCACAGTCAGTTAGATGTTTGAGGCTCAGAGATATGAGACACGACAGAGACATGAACACACAGACACAAGCAACAGCGACCTGTGCCCCTGACTGGTGTCTTACCCCAGTTAAAGCATTGATTTGCTCTATGGTCTGAGGCGCAAACTGTGGACTGTCGCTGTGGTCAGAGGGAGCCAGCGAGGCCAGGCTGTTGTTGAGAGACTCACAGCTCTCTACACGCACATCGGGCGTTAAAGCAAACTTTAATTAGAGTATGAAAGAGGAGAATACATGAGTATTAGAGTTATACCTAACTCTCTTCTGCCATTTGTATGTTGTGAAACAACAGCATGAATGGACTGAAAAGATGGAAGTAAACTCAGTACAGTTATCTGTAGTATTATACACGCAAAATAAACTGCTTTGGTGGGTAGGTAAAAAAAAGAAAGAAGTGGATAAAGAGCAGGAAGGAAATCTTGATTAATCTTTGTAATTATACACAATATGCTTCCTGCAACCACGATTATAGGCAGGGAGCTGAATGTGAAGCTTGGACCTTCTGCTCCATAAATCTGCCTGCAAAAGGCTTTTTTTCCATAACTTTAAATAGCAGGTACTGCAAAACAAATAAAGCACCTACAATCATAAAAATGCAAAAAATAAGGTACCAATAATAACAATAAAAAAATCCTACTTAGAATTGTTGTGAAAAGACTGTCAGTGATGGAGTCCTTGCTTTGTAGAATTGTCTGTGTGACTAAGGGCATGCTGTGAGTTTGGTTTTTACCTCCGATCGTCCCTGCTCCGGTGAACCTGTGCTGGATGATGCATGATGGTGATAGCCATTTACATCATCTGCAAGACAAAAAGATAAAACACAAAATTAAAAACACAGTTAGCAGTTAAGAGACGGCTCTCTTACCAGTGTAAAAGAATAATAAGAATCAACAACAAAAAAGTTATCTCAGACAGCCAGGATAATGCAGAAACAACTGCCTGAATAATGACTTTGGCCCATGTTGTGGTCTATATGTTTACAGCATTTTGTGGTCTTGTGAGGCAAACAGGGTGACTTAACAGTGAACGACGCTACTGAGATGAATATGCACCCATTTCAGAAGTGACTGCAGGAAACATGCCCGAAACGTCTGGGAAGCCCCCCTACAAGTCTTTCTTTTTTTTTTAAATGAACGTTGGCTACACAATAAAACTGAAACTGAGTTGTACTTTACCTACTGCTCACTGCTTGGCATGTAATTACAACTTTCCAGATCATTCTGAGAAAAGAGTTACATAAACAAATGGAAAGACAGATGAAAAAGCAAGACAAACACGGAGCCCTGCTTGCACCACTACAGCTAAAAAAATATAAAGCGAAAGGTCTCGGGCTCTGTGTCTGTGTTTTAAAATAGAAAATGTTCTAATTGATAGTTTCTCTCTCTCTCCGGTTATATTTAGTCTGGGTTCAGCACAGGAAGAGTGTCTACACAGACCTTTGTCTACATTATTAAACGCCAAGTTAACAAAGTAAAACTTGGTGGTGCAAAACTGAAATTACAAACATTTATTATAAAAGACACACTTCAAAAGTGAAATACAAACTCATTTCTCAGCTTCTGAACAACAGCTTCTCACAAAGAGAGAAGATAGCAAGTGACTTTCATTTGGA